CGCAGGTACAGTCGGACGCGGGGCAGAGCGAGAGGGAGCGGGGGCCTGGGCAGGGAGGGCGGGCAGTCGGGCGTCCGCCCGGCGTTCACTGCATCCCCGCCTCCGGCAGACCGTGGTGCGGGAGAATTCCCTCGGGTGAATCCAGTGGGAAACAGTCCCCGAGGCAAAATGGGAGATGCCCAAGGTCACTCGTATGTCTGGGCTAAGTGGGGGCCTCCTGAACTCAGCCCGGGCAGCCTCCCGCTGTGGTTTGGACAGGGCTCAGGGCAGCCGTGAGATCGCTGGGGCTGCCTCTGGTCTCTGTTCAGTCAACAAACCCTTCCTGAGCTTCTGCTATTGAAAGCCGTCCTCTGTCCGGATCAGAGTGAGGTCCTTCCTCCCTCCCCAGAGCCGTCCAGCCGCCTCAGTGGGAGGGCAGACCCGGGCTGTGAAGAGCATCCCGGATGTCCCAGGGCGTTCTATAACCATCACGCTCAACCCTGTTCTCTCTTCTGACCAGGTTGTGCTTGAACGGACTGGGCCACACTCCCAGCCTGTGTTCTCTTAGATCCTCAGAGACCTACAACCTTTTGCTCGAGCCTGGAGGCCAGAGCATGGGGCTCCTGCACCGGGACCTTTGGGCACAGGCCCACCAGGCTAGGAGGGAAATTGGAGGGTTGAGACCAGCAAATGGCATAATGGTTCTGTCGCTGGACTCCTACATAATTGACTGTGGTTCAAGTCCCGGGGCTGGGCTTATAACTCACCCTGGGTGAGTGCACGTGAAGGCCAAGATCCAGATAAGAATAGAGAAGGGATTGCAGCATGGCCATCCTTTTTGGGGGTGATTTCTCGCTTTCTGTCTCTCTCTGGCTCTCTGACCAGCACACTTGCCCTATAGCAAAAATCTCGCTCTAAAAAAAAATGTTGGCAGGTCGAACATTTCCGTTTCTGCATTGTGGCCAGTACTTCTTTCTGAGGCGGAGTCCGCCCTTAGTGCAGAAAGGTGGGCATCATCTGACTCCCCTGACCGCACAGGGCTCTCTGAAGGGCCCCAGCAAATCAGGCAGAGTCCAGAACACAACTCAGGGCCCTGGGTTGTGGGCAAGGGCTCTTTCCGTTGCTCCAACCTACCAAACTGTAATGATTTGCGTAGATCTTACCATCGTTTCTAGTTAACCCAGCTTGAGCCTTGCTAGGGTGAAGGGGGAGGGTGCCCCAGACCGCTTTCTGGGTGTCCCGTCTCACCTGGCCAGTGATGTTGAGGCCTCAGGCTGAGTCATGCTGTCTGCGTGCTCCTGCATATCCTTGGGATATATTGAGGAGCTCAGGGGACTCTTTCCTACAGCAGCCCCAGAATTTGAAATGACTCATTTGAAATGGAGAAAGTATTGCCACTGAGGCAGTAGGTGCCAGGGCTCACAAGGGTCGAACTCAGCAGGCAGCCAGCGGGGCTCTCCAGGCCAGAAATGGGGGAACAGCTTTTCTCCTAGAAGTCACCCTTACCACAATCCTGATCTCCCTCAGGAAGGGGGCGAGGGGAGGGAGGAGAGATTCCCCATGGAGGCCACCTCACTCTAGGCTGCACTGTCCTTCAGTACCTAGAATCCACACCCTACCTTATATGATAATCCCTTGATAAATGACACATTGTACACTTTTCCAATTTTTTTTTTTTTTTAGCAGCCAGAAATTGCTAAGCTTTCTTATGGGCTTTTTCTTTTTTTCTTTATTTTTATTTTTATTTTTACAAGTTTTTGCTTTAGGGTGCATGCTCTTGGCAGAGAGAGGGAGAGAGAGAGACAGAGACAGATGATAAGAAGAAAAGTGAGAAATCACTCCTCGGAGGGATTGCCATGCCTCAATCCCCTCTCCTCCATTCTCTTCCCTGGATCCTGGGCTCACACACACATGCCCATCGTGAGCCTCAAGTCACTGGGTCTGGGATTCGAACCACCACTGGACATGTGGGAGTCTAGTGATGTACCTGCCATGCCACAGCGGCCCCTTCTATGGGCTTTTATGTCAAGCAGGACTATCAAAAATTGGTGACATTGTGAGTGAATAAGGAAACATTTTAGGAGATCCAGATTCTCACTTTCTTTGTTCCTGATAATGAAATAGCTATTCTTTAGTAAGGTAGGAGTGAGACCCTAAAACAAATGAATGATCGTTGCTGAGGGGGTACCAGCAGGAAGGAGCCAGATGTTCACCAGTATCCTGTCCCCCTGGTCAAGCCTCCTGTATGAGTTTTCTATTGCTAGTGTAACAAATTACCATTAACTTAGTGACTTAAGCCAACACCTTCTTCTTGACTGATGTACTCATTTTTAGTTTATTTCTTCCATCAGAGAGAGACAGAGACAGAGGCCCCAACAAGGTCCTGTCATCCACAATCTATCCTCGGCCTCAGCCAGCCTCAAATCATGGGCACACATGTCTGGTGTACTCAGGGAGATCTTTAGATGCGAACCCGGAGCCTTCCCATGCGGGTGAGCTTCACGGAGCATCCCGTGTTACGGCTGCACTGTGCCGTCCGGCCCCAGCACATACTGAGTATCTTGGAGTTTAGGCCAGAAGTCTGAACTCAAATTAAGGTACTTGTGTTCCTTTCAGGGGCTCTCAGGGAACTTCGGTGTCCTGCCTTTTCTGGTGGAGCTCACCCCTCCCTTGCTCATGGCCTTTCCCCTCCGTCAGCAGCAGATTGTGTTCTCACACCTCATCACTCACACCTTTTCTGCCTCCTTCCACTTTTTTCCTAATAGAGATTTTCGCTATAGGGCTTGTATACTCCCTGAAGAGACAAACAGAGACAGAAAGGGAGAAATCACTCCCCCCGCCCCCCAACAGGGGTTATGGCCGCACCGCTCTATTCTCCTCTCTCAGGATTTTGGGCATGCATGTATACCCACCTAGCATGAGTTTCAAGCCAATGAGTCTGGGACTCAAATTGCGGTCAGTCATGTGGGAGTTCAGCGATGTAACCATTATGCCATCTGTTGGTCCTCTTCCTTCCATTTTCTAAAAATAAATTTTAAAGGTATTTGCCTTAGGCATGTAAGAGAGAGACAAGACAGTGAGAGGGAAAATGAGAAATCAAGCCTCAGGGAGGATGACCATGCTGCAATCCCTTCTCCTCCCAGGATCTTGGGCATGCACACACATGCACCCAGTGTGATTTTCAAGCCACCCGGTCTGTGACTCAAACTGTGGTTGGCTATGTGGGAGTCCAGTGACTAAGCTGCTATACCATCTGCTGGTCCCTGCTCCTTCCACTTTAGGGGCCTTGGTAATGACATCAGGCCCACCCCAATAGTCCAAGATCAAATTCCCATTTCAAGGTTTTTAACATAATCACATCCACAGTCTTTTTTTTTTTTCCATGCAAAGTGATGTGCATAGAGGTTCCTAGGATTAGTGTGTAGATATCTTTTGGGGGAGGGGAATTATGCCACCTACCACACCCTCGTAATCTCCCTAAATAGAGGATTTCATGTGAAAGACCAAGTGGAGAAGAAGGGAGCCCACGTGGTCATGAGCACACCACCATGATATGTGGGCATCAGTGAACGTGCTCAGTCATGGCATCCACAGTGTGTGTTTGCTTCCTTTTACTCCAGTTATGCACAAATACCCAGACTCATCGCCTGGAAAGATTTTTCTGCACAATCCTTCCTTGCTCTGGATCTGTGGGGCTCTCTGTGGGACTGTCAAGGGATGAAGTCACATTCTAGAGTTGTTTTTATAGAAGAGTGATTTTTAATTCCTTTTGGCTTAGCTAAATACGTGACATACAGCATATTTCAGGGCGAGGACTCAGGGAGAACAGGCAGGAGGTCTGTATGAACATGAGATCATGTGGTGGTGGTGGAAAATGTCACCGAACAGAGACTCTACTTGGTGTGCTTCGACACCTTCAGGACTGGGAGCGGGAAACCGGGAGTCCAATTCATGCTCTATCACTTCCTAGACCTCACATTCCGAGCCTTAGGTATAAACACAACATCTGCATCTCTGACTTTATAAGGTGGTTGTGTTGGTACTCTGTGATCTCCAAAGAGTTATAGTAAGAAAGATATTGATTTTCTTGGGACTAGCAGTTGGCGTAATGGCTTTGTCGCTGGACTTCCATGTAGTCAACCGCAGTTTGAGTCCCAGGCCTCGTGCCTTAAATTCATGCTTGGCATGTGTGCGTGCATGTCCAAGATCCCATGAGGATGCGGGCATGTGTGTGTGCATGCCCAAGATCCTAAGAGGAGAATGGAGAAGAAGGGATTGTGGTGTGGCCATCCCTCCTGGGGGGTGATTTCTCACTTTCTGATTCTGTCTCTCTCTGTCTTTCTGGCGAACACGTGCACCCTATAGCAGAAACCTCTCCAAAATTAAAGAAGAAGAAGAAGAAGAAGAATGATATTGATTTTTCTCAATTTAATACCTCTAGGCAGCGGAATAAAATCAAGAGGGTAATGTTCAGCTTTTGAAAGAAAATTATGGGGCCAGCAGGTAGCATAGTGGTTAGGGCATTGGATTCTCACATGGCTGACCATGGTTAGAGTCCCAGACTCAGTGACTTGAAAATCACACAGGGCACATGTATGTGCATGCCCAAAAGAAGAGGAGAAGGGATTGTGGTGTGGCCAGTTCCTGGGGGATGATTTCTCACTTTCCCTCTCTCTGTCTCTCTCCAGCAAGCAGATGTGCCCTATGGCAAAAACGTATAAAAAAAATTAAAAACTGTATCAAAGCATAATCTATTACAGAAAAAAGCTTTTTCTTCACAAAATGCGTAGCCTCAGAATTTATTTCAAATCCACCTTTTCTTCCCTGCTCACAGAATAGATGACCTTCTCAGCGTAGCAACAGCTAGCAGCCCTTTGTTAGGAAAGGGCAGAGCCCTGGTTGCCACCTCATGGCCAAGAACCTCATTTCATTGAGGGCCACATGCGTGTGATGCGTGTGTGCATGTGTATGTATGTGCGTGTGCATGCATGTGCGTGTTGAGTGAGAAGGGGGAATGGCTACATACTGGCTTCTTCCTCACCCAGCGTTGATTTTGGTGACTCGGACGAGGGCTGTGCAGACAGGGCTGAGGGGAAAGGAAAGGAAAGGACAGATGACAGCTGGTGTGTGTTACGCTAGAGTGCCAGGAGCTGTGATCCAGAGGACAGAAGGCCCTTGTACAGGAATCCGGCCCATTTGCTTTGATCGTTGAGGGCCTCATACACATGAGGGAACTTAAAAAGTCTGTGGAAAGATGGAATTAAAATACGAGTTAATTTTGGTACAATTTTTTTTAAAAATCCATTCATGGTTTTTTCATAATATGCATTCCTTCTTGAGACCCGCCTCATGTAAGCCCTCAAAACAATTTGGGAATGAATGAGTAGAAAGAGATGACTAAGAGGAGATCAGCAGATGATGTAATGGTTACGCCACTGGACTGTGGTTCAAGTCCCAGACCTGGTGGCTTAAACTTCATGCTGGGTGTGTGTGTGTGCCCAAGATTCTGAATGCCCCCTGGGGAGTGATTTCTTGCTTTCTGTCTCCCTGGTGAGTGCATGTACCTTATAGAACCTAGGTCAAAATCTGCTTAAAACAAAAAAGCATGCTCACAGAGCTGGAAATGCAATAAGCATACCAGGTTAAGTTTTTGTCGTTCTTTTTATTTTTAAGATTTTTAAAATTTTATTTATTACTATTATTATTTAATTTTCTGTAGGGCACATGTGCTCACCAGGGTGAGAGAGAGAGAGAGAGAGAGAGAGAGAGAGAAAGTGAAAGTTAGCCTCTAGATCTGGGACTTGAACTTTGATTGGCCACGTGGGAGTCCAGTGCCCCAACCACCATGCCACATGTTGGCCCCATCCTTTCTACTCTCAACTTGCTCAGGGTTCTAGTTGGGCCAAAGAGTTCACACAACAGGAATGAATGAATAACCAAGTGGAGGGAGAATTTAGGGTTCCTTGATTAGTTTCACTCTCTTAAAAGTGGGGTGAGAGAAGGAAGCCACCAGAAGAGCCCTGGAATGCTTGGCCTCAAACTGCTGTTGTGGGGTGCAATGAGGCTGGCTCTGAGAGTCTGGGCCTTTTTTTTTTTTTTTTCTGTTTTTAGACAGAGAGACAGAAAGCGAGAAATCACCCCCTGGGGGGATGGTCACGCCACAATCCCTTCTCCTCCATTCTCCTCTTGGGATCTTGGGCACGCACACACATGCACCCGGTGTGAGTTTAAGCCACTGGGTCCGGGACTCGAATTGGAGTCGGCTGCATGGGAGTCCAGCAACATAGCCATTACGCTAACTGCTGGTCCAGTCCTGGGCCTTGTACATGTTTGGGGACATTATGATCCATTGTGTCAGACAGCCCAGGTGCCCAAGAGCAGTCTGTGGTTCATTCATTCCTAGGAAGCTAAAGAACCTGGGAAGTAACACTCTCTTGAGCAGAGGGATGAGGTTCTAAGTGAAATTTCAGGGCTCTGCCAGCATAGAGGTGAGATATCTGGGAAATGTCACACCTCTGTGAATTTCCACCAGGGAATTCTGAAGGTTTGGTGTCTTCAGCACCCAAAGGGAGGACAGTCTTGGGGAAGGTAGCAGGCAGTGGTAGTGTGGGGGTTGGAGGCTGCTGTCCTATCTGGCCTTTTGGAATTCCAGGGATCGGATGTGAGGATTGTCCCATTTCTGGCTGTGGTTTGCTGTTGCTTAGTCTTTTCTGTTCCCCACACTCTTTGCAGGTGTTTGCAAGAGCAGACCCTTGGACTTGGTGTTTATCATCGACAGTTCTCGCAGTGTAAGGCCCATGGAATTCACCAAAGTGAAAACCTTTGTCTCCCGGATAATTGACACTCTGGACATTGGAGCAGCCAACACACGGGTGGCCGTGGTGAACTATGCTAGCACTGTGAAGATCGAGTTCTACCTCCAGACCCACTCTGATAAGCAATCCCTGAAACAGGCTGTGGCACGAATCACACCCTTGTCAACAGGCACCATGTCAGGGCTGGCCATCCAGACAGCAATGGATGAAGCCTTCACAGTGGAGGCAGGTGCTCGGGGGCCCTCCTCCAACATCCCCAAGGTGGCCATCATTGTGACAGATGGGAGGCCCCAGGACCAGGTGGACGAGGTGGCAGCTCGGGCCCGGGCATCTGGTATTGAGCTCTATGCTGTGGGTGTGGACCGGGCAGACATGGAATCCCTCAAGGTGATTGCCAGTGAACCCCTAGATGAGCACGTTTTCTATGTGGAGACCTACGGGGTCATCGAGAAGCTTTCCTCTAGATTCCAGGAAACCTTTTGTGGTACGTTGATAAGTCTTTGCTTCCAATGAGAAAGCATGTTATATTCAGACATTATGTACCCAGGGAACAAAAGATTTAGTCTTTTTTTTTTTTTTTGGAGGGGGGGGGAAATTTTATAAAAAACCTAAATATATGCAATGCTTATTTTGCATTTTTTACCAACGTAAACACACTGTGTTGGTTTAGGAATATAGAGTGGCATTATATATAACTTGGTTTGCTCATAAAATCTTCATGTTTTCATTAGAAATGTGAAGGTCTGGAAATATCCTGGATAAATGATCCTGCTGTTCCCTGATGGGGCCAGAAAAAATTCCACAAAAAAACAAAACTCAAGACACCTCTCTTGTCCCCTCTGCCCCAACACTACATTTTTACATTTTTCCCCCCAGATATTTTCTTTAGTTTGGCCATCTCTAGATTTAACAGAACTCTGCTTGTTTTCCTGCAGAAGACATGGGGCGGTGTCTGTTCACGGGGAGACCAACAGCCCTGTATTCCAGCGTAACTGTTGGTCAGATGTGCCTTTAGTGACTACACCACTTTTCAGATTTGCTTCTTTCTCTGATTATCCTTTGTGGAAGAACAGGACTAGGAACCCGGAAGACTGAGGTTTCAGCTCACTTGACAGAGCGAGCAAGAAGCATGTTTTTTAAAAAATATCATTTTGTTCCTCCCCTACTCCTGTCTTCCTTTGGGATGGAGTTGAAATACGAATATGCTAATCTCATTGGAATTTTTTGCCATAAAGTAGCCAAATCCATAATAGGAATCCATTCAATGCTGGGCTTTATTTTGAGTCATTGATCAAAATAATGATTTATGGGACTCATGCTTTAAGATTTTATCATTTGGAGGTAATTTTTTTGAAACCATCTGTGGAATTATCCAAGCGTGGACAAATTTATAGTTCAGGTGACTTTTTGAAGTTAGTTACATTTCTGCTGTATAATTTATTCTACATTTATTTATTCAGTATGCATTTATTGATCACCGATACTGTAAAGATAAAGGTAGTCCCTCCCTGCTATTGAGTTACATTCTAGGGGTGGAGTGAGACCAGCAAGTGAGCCAGTAATTACAACTGTAAATGTCAAGACTTCATATCTGAATTAGTGCAAGGCCCAGCAGTCCCCAGTTTGTCAAGAATGGGAGATAAACTCTTGATCTGGGACCCATTTTGGCTTCATATGAGTTAGACCTGGCTGGCATCCCCATGTCTTTCCTGTCCCAGGACACGGGGCCTTCTCAACCCATCGCTGGCTTTGGTGGCATCTGTTTGGCACTCACTGGTTTCCAAAAAGAAAGTGGTTTTCTTTCTCCCAGGAACCCCCCCAAGCTTGCGGGCAAGAGTTTTTTCATCAAGATGCTGGTCTGTGGCAGAGTTGGGTCTCAGAGCTAGCAGCTGGGGTTGGGCTTGAAGGCCATAAAGTAACAAGTGGTGAGTGGCAATTTCTGCCTTTTGGGACAAAAGACCTGCTTGTTCTGGGGGGAAAATGTCCTCTCTATGAGGTGCAGCTTGTTGTCGTCAACAGGCTGGAAAGATCATTCCGTGAAAAGGCCCTTCTTGGGCAAGTATTGGCCTTGTCCTGTTGCCAAGGGCAATGGAGGCCGGGTTACCTGCCACGGGAGGGTCAGCCTCTGCTGGGCCTGCTTGGTTTCTTAGAATAACTACATTCATTGATTCGTCTTTCAAAACATGTCATGAGAAAAAAAAAATCTAATGAGACATAAATAGCTCCAGGAGCAACGAGATGGAGATACGATTTTGTTTATAGCATCTCATTTATTTTGTCCTTCCTTTTCTTTTCGCCTGTTTATATTTAGCATATGAGCTCATTCTCCTTGCAGATATTAGAGCCCCTGAAGCTGTATATGTATTCATTTGGGCTCATGAACCCATGTTACATTTTCAGAAGGCAGTCTCCCAAATTGCTCTCCACTATTGTACATGCAAATATGAATCACCGTCCAAGGATGAGTGAGTTCCCAGCCTAGAGGCATGCTCGTGCGTGAATTCTGTTTAGACACAAGCTGTGGAACCTCGGAAACAGACTCTGGTTGCACCTGGAACAACTCATAGCACTTCAGGCACTATTTTTCTCTCCACTTTTTGTAGTTGAGAAGCAAAAAAAAAATCTTTATAATGGGCAGGTAGATAAGCTGAATAAAACATCAAATGCCTGGCCTTTTGTGGTTTTACATTCAAATTCAAAATTCCTTTTCTCCTCTGAGGAAGTCTATAGTAAGAGCTATAATTTTTATTTATTTTTAAAAATTTGGGCATGTATGCTCACTAGAGAGAAACAGGAAGAGAAATAGAGAGGCAGGGAAAGTGAGAAAACACCTGCCACGTGGAGAGTTAGCCATGCTGCAATCCTTTTTCTATTTTCCTCTTGGGATTCTGGGTAGGCCTGCTGGGTTTTTCAAGCTGCCAGTTCCAGGACTTGAACTGTGCAGCCAGTCATGTAGGATCCAGTTGCATTAACCACCATGTCACCGCTGGCCCAAGATCTGTCATTTTAAATTAGTGATATTTCTAGTCTAAGAGCAGTATTTCTTTTTCTTTTAAAAAATATTTATGTAATTTTATTTATTATTGTTATTATTTTTAAATTTGCTATAGGGCATGTGCACTCAACGAGAGAGAGAGAGAGAGAGAGAGAGAGAGAGAAAGTGAGAAAGCAAGTGGTGCCAGGTCTATGACTCAAACTGTGGTCGGTCATATGGGAGTCCAGCACCTCACCATGCCACCTGCTGGCCCCTAAGAATGCTATTTTTAATAGGCCGGAGGCAGAAAACAAATGGCTAATTTTTACAGTAAAGTCAAGCTAGAATCAGAAAGGAACTGGAGAATGGTGTCTTTTTGACATAAAAAGTTTCTGAAGTGTTTCTTACGTGTCGATACTGTTACAAACTTCCCTGCTCAGCTGTGGACCCCTGCATGCTTGGCACACACCAGTGCCAGCACGTGTGCATCAGTGACGGGGAAGGCAAGCACCACTGTGAGTGCAGCCAAGGATACATGCTGAATGCCGACAAGAAGACGTGCTCAGGTGAGCCTGCTACGGCTAGGGGTGATTTGAGGTCCTGCATTCCATGCATTCCAGGCTTTGGACTGACTTTACGTTTTAACTCTCCTGCTCCTTTTCAACTGAACTACTTTTTGACTAACTTACTGCTGATCATCAACAGTTTTCCTTACAAAGCAACCTCAGAGAAAAAAATGAGATAATACAGAAACCTGGCCTATTACAGTGTTTATTTTATTACTAATTTAAAGAACAGGCTTGGCAGAAGAAAAGGCTAATAAGGAAGGGGCCAGTACTCTTGGTCCCCTTGAGGATTTGAAATTTTTTCTGGATTTTATTTAATTAGGACAAGCTACCCCTTCCTCTCTATGATTACAGATGTTCATGGAATCTCTAAGTACTAGAAGATTTGAGAAGCCCCTGCTCATCTGGTATATTAGTACTCACACAGAATCAATGAAGAACGGGAATTAGTTCAATTTTGTTTAAGTAGTAGAACAAAGTTTTTAAAGTTATTATTTATTTTTAATGCCAGAGAGTACATGTCCATGCATAAGAGAAAGAAAAGGCACCCCTCCCCCACACTGGGCCTGGCCACACCACAGTCCTTTTCCCTCCAATTCTCCATCCCTCAAGATCCTAGGCACATATGGGAGTACTCAGCTTGTTTTCAAGCTGCCAGAGCCAGGACTTGAACCCTGGCTATGTGGGATCCGAATTCCTCTGTGTCCCACGCAAGTACTGTACTATGGGGCTGACCCCAAAAAGGTTTTTGAGAAGAAAACTTAAGAGATTATTTAATTCAAACTATTCATTTTATAGACAATGACATTTAGATGCAAAGGAGGGGCAAGTTTTACCCAGGGCAGAGGATCTGTTCGTGAAAGCATCAGGACCAGTGCTTGGTTCCCAACTCCCAGTTTGAGACCCTTTCTCTGTGCCACGATACCCCTTTTTTGTTAGTGAAGAAAACCTAAGAGATTATTTAATTCGACTATTCATTTTATAGACAGTGACATTTAGATGCAAAGGAGGGGGAAGTCTTACCCAGGGCAGAGGGTCTGCTCGTGAAAGCATCAGGGCCAGGGCTTGGTTCCCAACTCCCAGCTTGAGACCCTTTCTCTGTGCCACGATACCCCTTTTTTGTTAGTGCTGTGTGTGTGTGTGTGTGTGTGTGTGTGTGTGTCTTTATCAAAATTAATTTGTATGCATCATTTTGTC